TTCATTTTGCAGAGCAGGAATTACAGCCTGGCTGAGATGTGGAATGTGGCCATAGTCAACATTTGAAGTCGTAGAAGCTGCACTGTTTACCTATGGGTAATAGACAGGCCATTAATAATTATAGCATCTCATAAACTATTTCAGAAATTCCAAAATGTCCACACAGTTGAACCAGTCATTTTGTCATTTTACTCCAAGAGGTTTATTTCAAGGAAAAACAAAAATTGAATAATTCACAAAGATGCATATCCAAGAATGTTCAGTGCACTACTTACTATTCATCAGATTAGGGGTAGTGGTGGTGGTAAGGCTTTCCATTGTTCAACTCCAGAGAAAACATCAACATGCACAGTCACGTACACAATGTGAAGTGAAAACGAAAAAGCGGTGTGGACAATATAATTCTATTTTGTTGTTAAGTGCCGTCGCATCACTCCCATCTAATAGCTATCCTGTATAGGGTTTTCTAGGAGCGGCTGGTCAGTTTGAACCACCAACTGTGCAGTTTAAACTCACGTTGTCGTTCAATGATTATCCTACAGTGACACACCAGCACTCCATAATCTCATATACATTAAGAAAAAAAGAATATATATCAATCTATAATAGCACTAATTGTTCTTGAGCGATGACATTCCTGGGGTCATTTACTTTCTGCGTGTTTGAATGGTTATAACAATGTATAACAAAGAAATCTGCCTTGCCCCAGAAGATAACTGGCCTTTGTCCCCCATCCCTGGTAGGTAACTTCTGGAGAGACTGTTGTTGTTGTTACTAAGTGTCGTCAAGTCAGCTCCAACTCATAGAAACCCTGTATAGGGTTGCCAAGGAGCAGCTGGTAGGTTTGAACTGACTACCTTGCTGTTACCAGTTCAATGCTTATCCTACACCACCAATCAGTATTCCTTGTAGCAACTGTTGTTGTAGGTAACTGTCGCTGAGTCAGTCCCGACTCATACTGGCCCTGTATAAGGGTTCCAAGTTGCAGCTGGTGAATTTGAACCGCCGACCTTGTGGTTCAAACCAACGTTTGGGTTCAGTGCTTTATCCCACAGCACCACACCACAGTGGACCCCTCTTACTATATCCATTCGTTTGGACTGATGAGATGGTGGATCTCTCAGACAATGTGAAGTCAGCATGATCTCCAGGAAAGGAACGCCAGACTGAGGTCTATCATGCCTAGATAATAAAGTTCTATCAAAACTCTGGATGCTACAGCTAGAGTTAGCTTCCTGGTTTGGCAATATTCCTCACGTACTATCACACATCAGTTCCTTGGAACAAGTGAGGTTTGGCATTTGGAGCCCCCGTCAAGTACCCTAACTATCTCCTCTTTTGTTGTGTTGTGTGCCATCGACTCAATTCTGACTCAGTGTGCCATCAAGTCAGTTCTGATTCATAGTGGCCCTATAAAAGTTTTCAGACACTGTAAATTTTTATGGGAAAAGAAATCCTCATCTTTACCCACAGCATGGCCTTGTGATTCACAGTGCAATGCTTATCCTACAATGCCAACATGCTCTTCCTTTGTTGTTGATATTAAGTGCCATCGAGTCGGTTCTGACTCGTAGCAACCCTGTATAGTGTTTCTGAGGAGCAGCTGGTGAGCTTGAACCACTGACCCTGCAGTTCAAATCTACCTTGTGCTCCAGTACTTATCCTACAGTGCCACACCAGGCTTTGAACCTGTATCCTTTCCCTGTAATAAGCCACAGTGAGAGTATAATAGCTTTCAGGAGTTCTGTGAGTCCTCCTCATGAGTAATCAAACCTAAGGTTGATTCTGAGAATTCCCTAAACTTGTAGTTGTGTGGTCTTGTGTGGGCTATTTCCTCTAACTCTGTAGGTAAACCCCAACTCCTTGCAATTGGTGTCAGAAGTCTTGGGCTTCAAAAAGGCATACCTGTACATGCCCATTATAAAGGATAATCTACAATTAGTCGTCAGAAAAGTTAGGTCAATGACGTTTTGGATCACTCCGTAGCCTCAAATCCTGACTTCCTTTTTCCTTCTCATTTGAGACCAGCTCTCAAACACACCTCACAGCTCCTTAAACCGCCAATCTGCTTCCTCTGTCAGCCAGGTACATCCTTTCCCTAAATATTCCGATGACTTATTTCTTTATATTATCCTGGCATGCTCAACAATAGATGCCCTCCTAGATGCCCTCCTTGACAACCCTATCCAGTTTAGCACCCAACAGCATGTTCACGGGCTTACCCTGCTCCGGTTTTCTTCATGGCACTGATTACCAGCTGCCAAACACTCTGCTGTCATAGAAATTCCATCTGAGGCAACGGACACAGACTAGGATGTGAGACTTGCCAGCAGACGAAATTGGACTCTTTGATTCCCTATGATATCCTCAGTCTCTTGGAGAGTGACTGAAACAGAGCCGGTGTTCAATATACATTTGCAGAATAAATGTTTATGCATTTTTTATGAACCTATTCTAATCTAATTTATCCAACAATTGTCCAAGCATTAGCATCTCTACTTTGTAAAAAAAATGAAACTGCACCAAGTCACCCACCTAATAAGGAGTTATGACACAGACATTCCCAGCAGAGGATTCCTATCATCTCTGTATTGCCAAGCACACTGTCCTTTGAACTAAGATTTCTGGAACTTATATGAGGTAAAAGCTTCCTTTGCAATAAGCTATCACAATATTTTGCAACGCATCATCAATTCTCACTGAAGAGTGCATTACCTATTCTATTATTTATCTTACGTACAATCATTTAATAAAGCAGAAAATTCACTGAGTTATCAAAGTTACCCATAATTCAACCGCTATATGGGCTATTATGCTCACAAAGGAAAAAGAGATCAATGTGTTGAAAAGAGGAATTTGGGAATCCTTTCAAATGCTTATTTTAAAATCTACAGAAGGCATGATCAATTATTATTTTTTTCAAAAACAAGATTATGCCAAGCCTTTTTTTTTTTTTTACCCTGAGCCATGGCAACGTCAATAACGTCTGCTAACAGAAGTTACACTGTTCAGGTTGAAGCAGATGGCATAATGAAATCGGCAACAGGCTGAGGATCCCACACACCAGGACCTAATGCCTATGGTATGTCTGCATAGGAAAATAATATTTGGACTTCTGCTAGGGTGAGCCAGAAGGAACAAATCACATTCCAAAAATAGAGTCTAATCTATAAGAAGTTAACTGCTGAAAGAGAAGCTCTGATATTCTGAACGACAGGACATGAAGGCGAGGTGTCCTGGTTGCTGAAAGGTCAGGGGTTGGAATCCACCAGCAGTGTCACAGGAGAAAGTTTCTAGTGATCTAGAAAAGTCTATGGAGTAGTTCTACACTGTCCTATAGGGTCTCTATGAGTCAGAATAGAATCAGCAACACAAAAGATGGGAAGACGCTCAGAACAAAGTTTGTAAGACCAGAGCAGGTATAATATTACAATATATTTAATGCCATGTGTCTTCCTCTAAATTGTTAGAGATGAAATCAATGCCAGTGGCTTTTTCTGACTCTTTCCCACCCTTGAGGTCTACAGAAAGGTGACAGCAAATGTTGGAGAGATCACATTTTTAGTTATCTACTAAATATGGTATCACATAAGGATTTTTAAATTTGCAAATTTATGTCCATAAATCAAAAGTACCTTTTGAATCTGTTATAATAAATGCTAATTAAAAGAGCTTTCTGAAATAGAGTCTCCTTTAGCAACAGGAATTATCTCTATTTGCCTTGATTGCTCTGTTCTTAGCACACTTTCTATGAATGTTTAATAAAAAGAACTTGACTCCCATCTTTGCTTTATGGAAAAGGAAATAAATGGAACAAAATAAATACCTGTGATTTTTCTATATAAATAAACATTCTGTGTAATGTAAATTTGCTAGTAAATTAGTAAGAGTCACTAAATAATTATCTGTTTTCTGTGTAACTTCTGGTTGTTATTTCAGACTGAATAGGGGTTTCTTCAGCTGAATAAATAAAAATATATCAACTTAAGTTATTAATTTATTTA